GCCGCCTCCGCCGGGCCCGCCATGCTGCCCCCCGCCATGCTGCCCCCGGCCCTGCTCCGCCGGCCCCTCGCCGCCGCCGCCCGCCTGGCCCGGGCCCGGGCCGGCCCGCAGGTAGCGGCGGGGGCGCCGCCGGGGGAGCGGGGAGAGGGTGGGCGTGGGGCCCGCGGAGTCCCCGGGGCCGGGGGATGTGTGTGTGTGTTGTGGTGTTGTGGTGTTGTGATCCGCCGGGGGCGGGGGGTGGGCGGGTCTTGTGCTGTCGCTGTCGCGACATCCACTCGGGCCGGCTGTGGCACGTCGTTTGGGCGGGAGAATCGGAGTCGTTTTAAGTTGGGGAGAAAAAAAAAGACCTCCGAGATCGTCGAGTCCACAACCTGTGACCGAACACGATCGTTCGTGTCAGCCAGACCGCGGCACTCAGTGCCACGTCCAGTCTTTCCTTAAATACCTCCAGGGACGGTGACTCCAGCACCTCCTCTGAGCAGCCCATTCCAGTGTCTAATCACCTTTCCTGTGAAGAACTTCTTCCTAATGTCCAACCTAAACCTCCCCTGGCACAGCTTAAGACCGTGCCCTCTTGTCCTGTCGCTGGTTGCCTGGGAGAAGAGGCCGAGCCCCACCTGGCTACAGCCTCCTCTGAAGTGGTTGTAGAGAGCAATAAGGTCACCCCTGAGCTGCCTCTTCTCCAGGCTGAACCCCCTCAGCTCCTTCAGCTGCTCTTCACAGGACCTGTGCCTCAGACCCTTCACCAGCTTCATTGCCCTTCTCTGGACAGACCTGGTCCTCCAGCGCCCCAGCATCTGCTTGAGTGGCAGAAAGCATCGGGGCTTCTCTTCTCCTGCAGAAATCCGGCGTGGGATGGGTCCCTGCTGCAGGCTCACGGATCGGTCGGGATCCCGTGGGGGTTTATAATGGCTCCAAGGAGTTGTGACACATGGGAACCAATACTAGATGTGTCATGCTGCAGAGGGCCATTGGGGAACAAGAACCTTTGGTCTTGGCCATCTGTATTCAACTACCTGAAAGGAGAGCGTAGCCAGGTGAGGGTTGGGCTCTTCTCCCAGGTAACAACTAACAGGACGTGAGGAAGTGGGAGGTTGTGCCAGGGAATGTTTAGATTGGAAATTAGGAAAAAATTTTCTTCACTGTAAGGGTTTGTAAAGCGCTGGAACAGGCTATCCAGGGAAGTGTTTCCATCATCCCTGGAAGTGTTCAAAAAACAGGTGGGTATGGCACTTGAGGATATGGTTTAGTGGTGGACATGGTGCTCTTGGGTTAATGGTAGATAAAAGGATCCTAGAGGTCATTTCCAACCCATACGGTTCTGTTCTGTGGCTTGAGCTGTATGGTATGCATGCCTGCTCGTGAAATAAGACATGTCCAAAATCCATCCTGCAGCCACCTCTGTGCAAATATGGGCTAAGGCCAGAGATGTGTTTTGGCCTTCTTTTTTCAAGTTTTATTTCTAAGGTGAGTGGAACGTTCCAGGTTATTGAGACAGTTGCAAAAATACGCTTAGCCTGGGACCTCCAAAGTGTTTTATGTTACATGAATAGAAGAACTGTTCTTGACCAGCCCTTGGGAAGCAGCCAGTAAGAGGCTAGGATGCAGACTTAAGAAATCTTGCATTGGAAGGAGTCAGTCTTTCCCCAAGTGTTTGTATCTTTCTCTTTCTTTTACCAACAATATGTAATTTGCTAATACTGATATAAGATTGTAATTAGAAAACACAGTGCAGTGGTGTGAGCTGGTTAGGTAAGGGCAACAAAGGCAGATGTTGATGTTGCTCCTGCTTTGGTGGCATCTTGGCAGCCTTGGTTTTGAGTAATGTGTTTAGTCAAATATCTTTTTATTGCTTTGACTCTTCGCTGCTGACTTCCTGAGGAAGGGGTTGAGAAGAGGAAAATGCTGCTTTGTAATAAGCTAATAATTAAACAATTGAGTGCAACAAATAAGAGACACATCACAGTCTGTTGCACTGCTGAAAGGAGTGGCAGCAAATAATGCACATGGGAACTATTTCCAAAGAAAAATGTCGCAAGAAACTTTTTGGAATTGGACATCACAAAGTAAAAAAATCTCACTAATTAAAAAAAAAATTAGAAGACAACTTTCTGGCTTGATAATTAGTTTTACTTATTTTTCTGGCTGTTTTCTTTCAGGCACTCCTTGCTACAGGGCCCAGACAAGATACCAGCATTTTCTACGAAATTCGCACATATGATATCAAGCCGTCGAAGATGAAGGAGTTTTTGGAAACGATCAACAAGTACATTCACTTTCGCACAGCTCACTCAGAGCTGGTGGGATTCTGGTACACGGAGCTGGGAGCGATGAATAAGGTGTTCCACATTTGGAAGTACGGTATGACCAGCAACCCTTTGCACTGCTCTGCTCTCTGTGTGTTCCCTGTCTCGTAGGCAAGAAGGTGAGGGGGATGCTTACCTGGCTCTTATTTGTTGCTCTTAATGTAAGGAGGTGCCCCCCAAAAATCGCTCCTGTACTGATTAGTGAAAAGAACAACTTCAGAGCCTGTCAGGACAACTTTGACATGCTGGGATGAGAGAGTTAGAAATGTTCTAAAGCAGCAGCCTCTGCTCAAAACAGTTATAATAGAGGAAGAATGGTAGAGTCTTTTGTTCATGGTAGATGTTTTTAACTTGTGGCCAGCTCCACAAATGCCTTCAGAATTTCAAAATGAATGGAGAAAAAGGAAATATGCACGTATATGCACTCTGTGTGTGTTTGTATGTGTGTATAATTGTTCACAAATTTTCGCTCGGTATAATTGTTCTCAAATTTTAGCTTCCTTAAAACAGTGAGCACGCAGTTTGCATGCTTAAACTCCTTCTGCAATTGGCCTGTGCTGAGATAGGAAGACAGCCCACCAGTTCTGACTTCTCAAGCGCACAGTGTTTTCTTGCAGCTTTAGCCTTGGTAACAATAGGCTTTTTGCATTATAATCAACTTTTTTATGTTGTTGGAGTTGGTGCTGACATGGAAGGTGCAGGTGAGCCAAGAAAAGCTACACTTACACCAGAAACTAGGTGTACTGGCCATGCTTTTTGTGGCGACCAAAGGAAGTCGGTACTTGGATAATGGAGAGGTGGGAAGGCACACCAATATCATTTCCTTGGATACCAGCTGTAGTCCAGGGTATATCTGCATATTGAGGCAGTGTGCTCATCAAAGTCCAGCATGTTCACAGTACCTGTTTAGAGTAAAGGATTGCCTCTTTTGTTTTGGAAGGGTGAATCATAGAATCATAGCCTCATAAAATAGTTTGGATTAGAGAGGACCTTAAAGATCATATAGTTCCAACCTCCTTGCCATCGCCAGGGACACCCTTCTCTCAGTCTTGTTGCTCAGGACCCCGTCCAGCCTGGCCTTGAACACTTCCAGGGATGGGGCATCCACAGCTTCTCTGTGCAACCTGTTCCAGTGTCTCACCACTCTGAGTGAAGAATTTCTTCATTGTATCTAATCTAAATTTTGCCCGATCCCTGGAGGTGTTCAAGGCCAGGTTGGATGGAGGTCTGAGCAACCTGGTCTGATGAAAGATATCCCTGCTCATGACAGGGGAGTTGGAACTAGATGATCTTAAGGTTCCTTCCAATGCAAACCATTCTACAATTCTAAATCTACTCTCTTTCAGTTTAAAGCCATTTCCTCTTGTCCTGTCACTCCACACCCTTGTAAAAAGTTCCTCTCCAGCTGTCTCGTTCAGGTACTGGAAAGCTGTTCTAAGGTGCCTCTGGAGCCTTCTCTTTTCCAGGCTAAACAACTCTCTCAGCCTGTCTTCATAGGATGTTTCAGCGCTTGGATCATTTTTCTGGCCTCCTCCTCTGGCGTTGCTCCAACAGGTCCATATCCCTCTTGTGCTGGGGGCAGAATCACCTCCCTCGACCTGCTGGCCACACTGCTTTTGCTGGAGCCCAGGATGTGATTGGCTTCCTGGGCTGCAAGTGCACATTCACATCAAACTTCTCATCCACTAGCACTCCTAAGTCCTCCTCCTCAGGGTTGCTCTCAATCCTGGCCTGATCCTGTAACTGGGATTGCTTAAACCCGCATGTGTGACCTTGCACTTTGCCTTGTTAAACTTCATGAGCTTTGCACAGGCCCAGCTCTCAAGCCTGTCCAGTTCCCTGTGTGGCATCCCTTCCCTCCAACATGTTGACTGCACCACACAGCTTGGTGTCATCAGCAAACTTGCCGAGGGTGCACTTGATTCCTGTGTCCATGGAAGATGTTAAACAGCACTGGTCCCAGTACTGAGCCCTGAGGGGCACCACTTGGACATTGAGCTGTTGGTTGCAGGTCTTTGAGTGCGACCATCCGGCCCATTCCTTATCCACTGAGTGGTCTGTCCATCAGATCCGTGCCTCTGCAGTTTAGAGAGTAGGATGTTGTATGGGACGGTGTAAAATGCTCTGCCCAAGTCCGGGTAGATGGTGTCAGTCACCCTTCCCTCATCCACCAATGCTGTAACCCTATGACAGAAGGCCAAACACCAAGTTTGTCAGGCATGATTTGCCCTTAGTGAAACCATGCTGGCTGTCACCAGTCACCTCCTTGTTTTCCATGTCCCTTAGCGCAGTTTCTAGAAGGGTCTGCTCCATGACCTTCCCAGGCACAGATGTGAGTGAAACTGACCAGGCTGTACTTTGGCAGGTCTTCCTTATGTTTTTTTTTTTAAAAAATGGACTGCCATAACTTCTCAAACATGATGGATAGTGGCTTAGCCACTTCTGCTGCCGGTTCCCTCAGAACCCACGGATATATCTTATTGAATCCCATGGGCTTGTGCACCTTCAGGTTCCTTAAATGGTCTCAGACCTGATCTTTTCCTACAGTGGGTGGTTCTTTGTTCTCCCAGTCCCTGCCTTTGCCTTCTGTGACCTGGGTGGTCTGGCTGGAGCACTTGCCACAGACCTCTGCCTGCAGACCAAGGCAAAAAAAGGTCACTGAGGACCTCAGTTCTTTGTCATGACCAGGCAGCCATGTCTCCCCTTTCTTCAGAGAGGGCATGCATCTGTCCACAGGAATATTTTGAGTTCACCTGCATCTGTGATTAATAAATTGTCCTGCTTCTCAGAACTTTTTAGCCTTGGCTATTGTTATTATCTCTAAATTAAAAAAAAAATAATAATCTGTGAGAAACTTTTAAAGTGCAAAACAAAGGAAAAACCTGTACTTTTTATTTGTTTCCTAACAGTGTTTTACATATCTAAGTTACAACATCCTTTCTCCTTTATTCATCAGACCCCTGCTTATACCTTTTTGGTAGTTAAAAGTAATTGGTATATTTACCTCTTAGTCCCAGCATACTGATATTTCTTAAGGTTCTTCCTTCCCCTTCTCAGATGCTGGATTTTTCTTGCATAATATTGGAAGCTGTCTGCATAAGTATATTGCTTAAGATGCCATTGCAGACTAACTAGTTGAAATTCAGACACTCTTAATTAAGTAGGTTTGGTTTTAATTAAGAAAAAAAAGAAGAAAAGGTTTAGCTTTTGGGGATTTATCAATTTTTTACGCAGCTGAACACACAAAGATTACTTCTGCACTTTTAATGTCACTTTATATAAGCAAAAACCCCACATTTTTATTAATTTTTTTTCTTGGTAGGCTATTATTTATCTTGAATTTTTTTTTTTCCACTTCACTTCCTTATCCACTGTGCTTTCTCTGAATCTACTTATCCTTGGTAACTGTTGCCACATCCAGTAGTGCCGTGGATGCCATATGTAAATGTCCTTTAACTGTAAAATTGGTTAGCAGATTTTAACTGTGTTGTAAACTTTCTTGGCTTGAAACCATTTTAGTCTGAGACGTAAAGCAGAATTTAAAGGTGGGTTTTTTTTCAGAATTTAAAGGAAACTTACCACATCTGCTTCAAGCTTCTGTTTAAAAATACCAGTTTCGAAATTAGATAAGTGCAGCTTGCCTTCTTGTAATTAAACATTTTGATTGAGTCTAATGTGACATTAAATGCATTTTTTTCCAGGGTTTTTTTTTTTTTTGCTTTCTTACAGATAATTTTGCCCACAGAACAGCAGTCCGGCAAGCACTAGCCAATGACAAAGACTGGCAGGGAAGACTTATGTCTGCAGTCCTCCCCTTGGTAGAGAAGCAGCACAATGAGGTCGCTTATCTGGTACCTTGGTGTCAACTTGGAAAGCCTCCAAAAGAGGGGGGTGAGCTTATCTTTGCTTCTGGTGATTAAAGTTACCGATAGTAACAAAAAATGGTTTAAAGTTTAAACCAGCTGTTGCCTGGTTTTATAACCCCTTATGTAACAAAGGCACGTACGTGCACCCGTGTGAAAAAGGTGACATAACACAGAACAAGGGACAGAGTTTTTAAGAAGGATTTTACGCTAACTTACATCAAGATCTGCCTAGAGCCTTGCTCGTTAAGGTTGTTGATGGTCAGGGTTGTGAATTGCTAAATGGACGTGCAAAATGGCAGTGCCATAGTAGTGGTCAGAGCAGTCAGACTTCCTTTGTCTGTCCATCAGTGAGAGGGGATTTCCTGGAGATGCTGGGAATAATGATTGCTCTCTTTCACAGGGATTCTTCTCCTTTATCAATTTGCTTTGTTACTGATTGTTTTGATTCTTTTGCATAATAGTTTAAAAAAAATTCCCTACCTTTTAAAGATGCACGCAAGTCAACCATACTTTTTTACAGTCATAGGTTAGGTGTCAAAAGTCCTGTCCTTATGTATTTTAACTCTCTCTGTATCAAAAGCGATGTTAATAGTACTGACCATTCCCCAGTTTACGAACATTTGTAGAATTTGTTGTATGAAGTGGCATGGAACAGGCCTTTCTTCAGCCCTCAGCATGTGCATACATACAGTAATCTTCGTTCTTTATTTCCCCAGGATTCTGAATTTTATGCTGTTATAGTTGAATGTGAAAGCAGTCCAGTTTTCTCCTAAATCTGGAGAGATGACTTTTCAGACACTTTGTTCCTGTTGTAGTCCATCTCCAGCCCATTGCTGGAGAATGAGACCAGACATATAGCAAGTGTCTGGCTTTCTATTACAGTGTCAGCAATTGTGATCTGAAGTAACTACCTGAACGGAAAGAAGACAGGTATGAGCACTTGTGATTTCTGCAAAGTAGTCTGAATCTCCCAAAATTTCCAGGCAACACTGAAAATTTGCACCGGGTGCTGGCATGAACGGGCAGTCTCCTGCTGACCCCAAATGGCAGGGAAATGCAGTACTCATTTCACAATAAATACATCATGGCCATAACACACTGTTCCAGAACGGACATATTAATTTGTATTTCCTTCCCTGTGGTGGTGTTTGCCTTCTCTTCTAGGGGTGTATGAATGGGTTACTTTCCAGATGAAGCCTGGTGGGCCAGCATTGTGGGGTGAAGCATTTCGAGCTGCAATCAATGCTCACATCAACACAGGCTATACCAAGCTGATTGGTGTTTTCCATACAGAATATGGATTACTTAACAGAGGTACTACTCAATTTCTGATACAGACTTTGGCAGGGGAAGGGGCAGAGGATGAGGGGCAAGCCGTGGTCTTGCATCAGGATTGGCCAGTTTGCTGAAAACTTTGGTGTGGATCATTAAAGTCCTGTAAACAGTCCTTGAACCCAGCTTTGTTTGTTGGGTTAATAGGCTTAAGCTCATTGCCACAATCTTAAAAGTCTCTCAGATCTGATGTTAAAGTCAAACTGTGTAAAGGCTCAGTAAGGATCATCCCACCATTGACTTGCCTGGAGAATTCTTTCTGCTAACTGCAAGGCTTTTAACAGATGAAGGCAGATTGCTAGGACTTACAGTGCATGCTGTATTGCACCATAACACTATTCAGCTGACTTTATTTGTACTTTCTTAGTCCATGTGTTGTGGTGGAATGAGAGCCCAGATAACCGGGCAGCGGGAAGACACAGAGCCCATGAAGATGCCAGAGTCGTAGCAGCTGGTAAGAGATAATGCATCCAGAGAACTCACTCATGTTACCTGCATGCATGCTGAGAAAGATATTACTTCTCACTGGAAGTTATGTCTTAATTAAACATGCATTTAATTTCAGTACGCGACAGTGTCAGGTTCTTGGAGTCCCAGCAAAATGCACTCCTGATTCCTCTGCAGTGCTCACCGCTGAAATAACCTTCTTCTAAAGGGTGGAACTGATGGCAAAAGAGACAAGATGGAAGTGCTGTCAGCAAGTGACATGGATCCCCATACCCAGTGAACTGAGCTGTTCTTCAGTTGACCAAAAATGGATGCAAAATGCTGATCACTAGCAGTGTAAATCAGCATGCTGCTATCTAGTTGTTAAAAAGAAGTTTATGATGTTGTTCCTACCTCTCCAGGAAAGAGAACTTGAGCTGTATCACACATGACATGAACCACACTTCACCAATCCTTAATTTTAACTCCTAAGTTCTTAATACTTTTTCAAATAGCTAGATCCCTTATCAAACCTACTAAAGTTAAGTGTTCTTTTCCAACACTGCAGTCAGGGGTGGTATCACTTTGCTAACGTATTTTGGTGCCTCTTATAATTATCACATCGTGGTTATTCCATACTGGTTTAAGAAGGAATGCTCCCACATACACCTTACCCAGTTAAGTTTTAATCAGACATCTCATTGGGATACTCTGCATTAATTCTGAGCAAAGTAAAACATCAACGTAGCTGGAGTGCGACTTGGGTGCTACAGTGGAGCTGGTCAGGTGGTGTGCAGCACCCTCTTCTGCAATTTATAGGTACTAACTATAAACTGCAGAGCACTTGGGAGTCTGTTCCACACATTCATCACAGACCTGCAACAAGCAATTGATTTAATATCTCTACTGAGGTATCTTTGTGTAGTTTGCCTAATGATTATTGCTTGCTTAAAGTGCATTAAGATCTCACAGAAAGCACTATAAAACAGCCATAGGCAATTATGCTTATGTCCAAAGTACAACTTACATCTCTGTAATAAAAATTCAGAGACAAGTACTTGAGTTGGGATTTAAACATCCAGAGAAATTTGTTATGCTCTGCAGCTGGATTTGACAAATAAACCAAACACTGTTTTCATGACTTGCTAGAGACCTCTTTATTTACTAACTTTAGAAGCTTAAAGCATGTACCTTTCAAATCTTGTACCACTTTGCTTGCCTGAATAGTTTGTACTCCATGCTAAGTTGTAGAGATACTGGAATGTTATGCATCAAAATTCACAACAAAACAAAACCTGTGCTCCACAAAAGAACAAATGTAAAAATGACACTTGTGAAGACCAGTGGTGCTAAAACAGCTTTATTTTTTACTTAATACAAGGCAGAGTGCCTTTTAATACTTCACATAACAGATATTAGCAAATACAAATATATATACTTTTTTTTTTGCTTTTAATGAAAATGTCCACTTAAGGATTTAACTTAGAAATTTCAGTTGTGAAATCTCTCTAGATTTTTGCAAAGTTAACAGATATTCCAGTGCAAAAATAGATCCCATTACAGATAGCATAAAGTGCTTGGAACGAAGGGCCAACTATAATTCAGGAGGGAAAGATAAGCACAAAGTGGTGGTTTAACCAAGGGGAAAATCCAACAACTCCTTACTGAAATACAAATGTACTACAAAGAGGGATGCAACATGTCAATAGTACTGCAGTTTAAAATAAGTTAACACCTCAGTGCAGTTTCATTATCAAGAGTGGTTCATATACTGCGTGTGTCTCTAGAGTGATTTTTCCCCAACACATACTTGAACGAGTAAATTAGTGGCTGTCTGAACTTACTCCATGAGAAATCTTCATGCCAGTGTTGCATTATGCTGTCTGTTCAGTACAAACATGGCAGATCAGAGCTGTGAAATAGTTTGGTTAATATCCACTGTAACGTTTTAGCACAGATAGCAGACCCTTTAAGCATGACAATCACAGGGCAACAGGAATCAAGAATCTTTTTGTTTGGCTAAGGAAAGAGGATGATGTAAGTGTTGTTTCCTGATAAATTAATAATTTAAATGAGCAGCTACCAAGAGCAAACCACAGCCCTTTCAGGACCAAATCCAAATCCTCCTAGAACTCATTCTAAGTTCTACATGCACTAGTTTGGTGCAGTGCAAAACTTAAGCCCTTCACTTCAGCGACTTGACGCTGATTCATAACAATGGTTTTTAGCAGTGGTAAGCATCCAGTACCTGCTACTTGTTTCAATGATACGGCAACATACTTGCAGCCTGTTATGGAGCAATGGCTGTAACTCAGCTGTTTCCGCACCTGGAAGTCTGATGTGTTCATCACCCTGTACTCATCCCCATAGAGTGATGCTATAAAGGTAATAACAAAGTATGTTTTAAGTGAGGTATACCGATCCCCTTTACACTCCTTTCTCAATCCCCTTAGCAATGTATTATACAGATTAAAAAAAAAAAAAAAAAAAAAAGGTATGAAAAAGGCACTTCTGCAGAGCCTGGAGTAAGCTCTAACTTTACCTCAAGACAGGACATGGAGGGACTGGGAACTTGGTTTAGCTGTGTTTTAAAAATGCTGAGTTGGTCAGTGTTACCAAGTGTACTTGGAAATAGGTCATCAACCTTCTTCAGGCTCATGCCAGCCTCTTCATTGTTTGCTGGGCTGCTAGGAACATTCACAGAAGAAAATGGTCCATGATTGATTCATGGAGTAGCATCAAGAACTAGTGCAGAAACTGTGTGGGTGTTTAAGGCAGAGACATGACAAAGGAATAGCCCAGGAACTGCACTTAGGTTCAAACCACGTTACCGAACCCATTTCTGAATGTAAAAGCAAGACAAAGGGGCCCTGAAAGCATACTCTCCCATGACTGTTGTACAATGGGAACAAGAATTCGTTGTTCTCACTATATAATTTCCCCTCTAATATTATTCTGGCCTTGTAAAACTTGAAAAATTGATTGATGAACTGCAGTGCTACTATTTCAAACTATCTTGTCCTCCAAGGGGATTTTTACTGAAGGAGTTGTCACATGTATAACGCATCCCAAGGAGGAGACTCTAAGTTAACAATCTTCAAACAGCCACAGTGAGAGACAGATTTCAGGCAAATCTTCAAACTAGGCTCAAAAATCATTCTATACATCTACAGATCTATAGATCCCTCTCCTGAAACACTTTGGCAACAATCCTCTGAAGAATCCTTAGGGTTCTCCTTCAAGAAGAACAAGGACTGGTTTGATGAAAACAATCAAGAGATCCAGGAATTTAAGAAGAGAACTGCTCACGAAGCACACCTTGCACTGCTATCCTGTCACGTAAGAAAAGCAGCCTTTCAGTCTTGCATGCAGCAAGCTTCAACAGAAACTCCATGACATACAGAAAAAGTGGTGGATCAATCTAGCGCAGATATGGGTGATCACAGAGGATTCTATGAGGCCTTGAAAACAGCATACAGGCCTACATATCAGGTCCAAAGCCCTCTACTCAGGGCTTTGGAGATGGTCAAATGCTTCTGACAGATAAAACCTCTATTCTGAATCTTTGGTCTGAACACTTTCAGACTCTTTTCAGTACTAGCCATGTAGTCCAAGACTCAGCAATTCAGTCCATCACACAACAACTGGTGAAGAATGAATTGGATATTGCCCCTACTATGGGAGAAACCCTTAAGGCCATACAGCAGGTGAAAACTGGCAAGGCAGCTGGGGTTGATGGAATTCCACCTGAAGTCTGGAAACATGGGGGCCAAGCACTCCATGCTGGATTTCACAAGTTTGTGGTGCACTGTTGGGAACTAGATGAACTCCCATCAGACCTTCGTGATGCAGTCATCATCACTTTGTATAAGAAGAAAGGAGATAAATCAGACTGTTCAAATTACTCTGCTCTCCATTACTAGCAAAATCCTGGCAAGAATACTTTTGAACAGACTAATACCCACTACAGCAGAAGGAATTCTACCTGAAAGCCAATGTGGTTTCAGAGCCGACAGGAGTACCACAGACATGGTGTTTGTTCTCAGACAACTGCAAGAGAAGTGCAGGGAACAGAACAAAGGTCTCTATGGAACCTTTGTTGACCTCACCAAGGCTTTTGATACTGTGAGCAGGAAAGGTCTGTGGCAGATTTTGGAACGTTTAGGATGTCCCCCCAAGTTCCTTAAAATGATCATCTCACTCCATGAGGATCAGCATGGCCAAGTCAGACATGGCAATGCACTTTCTGAGCCCTTTCTAATAACCAATGGTGTGAAACAAGGCTGCATTCTTGCACCAACTCTATTCACAGTCTTTTTCAGCAGGATGCTGCAAAGGGCCACAGCAGACCTCGATGATCAGGACGGTATCTACATTCGATACTGTACTGATGAAGCCTTTTCAATCTAAGGCGACTGAAGGCCCACACCAAGACCTTAAACCATCTTGTCCAGGAGCTGCTTTATGCTGATGACGCCACCCTTGTTGCCCACACAGAAGCAGCTCTGCAGCATTTAACACCCTGCTTTGCAGAGGCTGCTGAGCTTTTTGGGCTGGAAGTCAGCTTAAAGAAGACACAAGTTCTCTATCAACCTGCACCTCAGGAAATCTTCCATCATCCCCATCATGAATGCAGCTATCCACCAAATAGATAGAAAGAGAGCATAGCATTGGGGCATAATGTGAAGGAATAGTGTGGCTACAGAGATCAGCTAAAAGTGTTTTCAATCCCTAATTATGCTACCTACAAATTTAAGGTCATAAATAATACTGCTTAAAACAAAAAAAAAAAAATCTGTCAGCGGGGCGGGGGCCGTGCAGGGCTGAGGGCGGCGGTCCCTGTGGTTTACAAACTATTTCCTGTACTTTGTCTCATGGAGAGGAGAGAAACTTCCACATTCTCTACTCCGCTTTTGGAAATATGTTTAAAGGTACTTTTCTACTGTAATTTTTTTAATAATAAAACCGGTGATTATTATTAAAAGAAAAAAAAAAGGAGGGGTAATGGGGGGAGGGGGAGCCCTTGGGGGGGACAGTACAGCAAAGCGGGATAGGAGAGAGCAGGAGGAGGTAGAGCAGGTGCTAATTCTGCTGGGTACAGAGGGTACGGCCCCCACACTTCAGGGCTACTGGGGTACAGTGCAGGCACTGTGAGCTCGTAGGGCTCGGCCGTGGGGAAAGGGGTGCTGGGATTTGGGGTGCCCACCAGCTTGCTCTTGGCCATCTTGGTGTTGGCCTTGGCAAACTCCAGCCGCAGTGTCTGGGGGATCTCAGGGTGGAAGCTGATGCCGTTCAGAGCGTTCTTTGCCGCCTCTGCCTCGGAGCGGCTGTCGAAGCTGACGAAGCCCATGGGCTGCCTGGAGGTGAGTTTGATGAGAGACCCCTCGTACCCCTTAAAGGGCCTGAAGATCAGGTAAAGTGTGCCGAGCGGTGCCCCCCGGAGCCGCCGTGCCCCATGTCGGTGCCGTTCGAGGAGCGCGGCGGGGCGGTGCCCTGTGGGACGCAGTGGGGCCGCTGGTACCAGACGCTGGAGGAGGTTTTCATCGAGGTGCGCGCCAAGGACGTGTGCTGCAGCCTGGGCAGCCGCGACATCACGCTGGCCACGCAAGGGTAGGAGCTGCTGCAGAGTAAACTTTCTGACTCTACAGTAACTGATGAAGGAACATGGACATTAAAAGACAGGTAGTTGATACGGACTGTTCTAACGAAGACAAATAGAGATGCTGGAAACTGTTGGACATCTGTTAGAAAATGAATACGCTGCTGATCCTTGGGTACAGGACCAGATGCAGAGGAAGCTTACACTGGAGCGATTCCAAAGAGAGAACCCTGGATTTGACTTCAGTGGGGCAGAAATTTCTGGAAACTACAGCAAAGGAGTACCAGACTTTTCTAGTCTTGAAAAGTAAACTTTTTACCTGTCTTCTTTTAGAGGAATTACATGTTACAGTTAAGGACTGGAATCACGTAACTGATGAAGACTTCAGTGATCTCTTCAATGGATTGTTGTCAAAAGTAATTACTTCAGTGAAGAGAAAGGTCTCTTCCAGCAGAATGAAGATAAAATGTTGCCAGCTGATTTATAAGCTGCAATTACCCTATAATACTAAGGGACAAATTATAGACAAAGGTGTACATAAA